TCAAGATAAACAAAGGCAGACCTGCATGCAACCCATACCCAAGGAATTATTGAAATAGGCATCTAGTCCATAGGTCTTCTACACTTGAAAGGAATAATGTCCCCATCTTGTTGACACAATCTTACGTTTTGCCTCAGACAGCGGTTGCTTTAGAGCGGACAGTCAATCCATTTTGACGGTGTTGCTTTATAGTGTGGCATGCCTCATCGGCACTTGGATCAATTCAAAAGGTATAAATAGCTTATGACCGGCGCACTCTAATTGCAACTGACACAGCAGCCAGCGTAAATAGGCCGATTCTTCAATCAATACCCCAGAACTGTCAAGCATCAACAATGGCAAACGCGGGGTACATGTGGGGATGGCCCCGCGTGGATCCAATCCTCCATTTGAGCGAATCGGCTTCGTCGTTGGATTCTGTTGCATGCCATCATTCATCCTGTTCAGATGACCATTGATTCGCGGCCTGATGCAGCTCAGGGCCAATCAGTGTGCGTCTAATTGTAAGCATTCCTCCAGGAAACATTATGAAACGTCAGGAATGCTGCACATCTTAAGTACGTCCATCCATCTTTAACAGAGCTACAAGCTCACAGCTGCCATACTCAGAACAAAGAACATAAACATGACCTAGCGCAAACATCGGCCCCATGAACTATCCTAAACAGTGATCATGCTCCTAAAAGCGGCCGTGAGAACCTCCTTGGTTGCGGGAGTCTGTGCTCCGTTCTATGTGCCTTATACTCGGTCAAGAGCGCCGGCTCAGTACCTGTCGAAAACAGTCCAGAGGTAAACTTAATCAACCTTATATCAAAGCCAGCGCGGGATCTACCTGCTAATCTGAGTAGAGAATACCCTCCCATCGGTCCGCTGTTTCATCTCTATTGATAGAGTTGGATGTTAGGAGTGAGAGTTATGTATGGATGCAAAGCGAAGCCTTAAAGAGTAGAAGTCGATTATCTGAGCATAATACTGATATTGACCTCTCATTCCCAGTAGTATATGGCGACTTGTTGTTCTACTTGGATGAGTTGCCTGGTTTTAAGATTAATCGACGCTTGAACATTGTTCCTATCAGCTACCCTACCCGAGCTGGCCCCTGGGTGGCCATTGTGTGCGCTTTCTGAATTATTATCTTCTCCGGAATGAGCTATGGTACGGCCCTATTTATTGCCTCGCGTGGATATGACGGCTCCTTTAGCACTTTTTCGGCTTGACGGATGCCTCGGTCTCTTGGGAATCCTGGTATAATTCGGGGAAGAAAATATGTCGATCCTGCAAGGAGTTTGCAAATAACAGAGTGGACCAATATTGTCACATATGGGTACCACATCTATGAAGCAATAATGGAGATGGCTGAGGATGCTGGAGAGACTGGTCCAGATAGGGGATGCGAAGTACAGAACCTACAAACAAAGATAATTCTATTTTCAGGGACTCCCGAACTGATCAAATATCAGTTTAGATCGTGTACTCCCTCAGAGTACCGAACTTAGTTGACAGGCAACAGCAACCGCCGGGCTGTGTTTGAGTTAACTGTGGCGGACAGTACCACTCATCGCAAGCGGGCTGATGATTCTTCGACAGCGTCATTCGAAACAATAGGAATCTTGCGGTCCAACAGAGATGCAGAGCAGAACGAATACGAGCCTCCATCTGCCAAGAGCGGGAATAGCACGTCTTGAATACAAGAATACGGAGGAAAGTTTGAGCCGAGATCGGGATTCCTCCGCAGTATTCATCTACAGCTAACCTACCAACATATATAAGCAAACCTTCAGTCTGGGAGCGAGTGACTATGTATAACAGTTCATACACGCATTGATTCCATTATACGCACCGGTGATAACTATACTCGCATTCCTCAACAGATCTCCAGCTCAATATCCGCTTCTCACCATGACAGATACACAAGATACCAAAATCACGCTATACTGGTAACCCATGACTCTACTGCGCGCAATGCCAGCAATCAACTAACCAGAACCAGGCTGGAAAAGTCCCGTGCCCAGCGGATCGTCTGGCTGCTGGAAGAACTCAACATCCCCTACGAGATCAAGACCTTCAAGCGCAAAGCCGACATGACAGCACCCGACGAGTTAAAAAAGATCCACCCGCTGGGTAAATCCCCTGTCGTCACCATTACCACGCCCCACTGCACGGAGCCACTCGTTCTGGCCGAGTCTGCAGTGATTATCGAGTATCTCTGCACCCACTTCGGCGGGGAGAAGCTCATCCCGCAGCGATACGCCGAAGGAAAAGAAGGCCAGGTCGGCGGGGAGACGGAAGCGTGGATGCGATACCAGTATTTCATGCACTATACCGAGGGAAGTCTGGCGCCGTTTCTGGTGATGAAGGTGGTTATCGACGGTATGTGCATACTCCATAGATCTCTCATCGTGGACGGTGACTGATGATTCTCAGGTGTGAGGAATGCGCCGGTTCCATTCTTCATCAAGCCAGTAACTAGGATGATAGCGTCTAAGGTGGAAGGGGCGTTTATCAATCCCAACATCCAGACGCATCTTGCCTTCCTGGAAGACCGGCTCAAGACGGCGCCGGGGGGTGGTCCTTATCTTTGTGGAGATAAGATTACAGCTGCTGATATTCAGCTGAGCTACTCGGTCATCGCGGCGTTGTCAAGGCTGGCATCCCTTCGGAGTCAGTATCCAGGAGTAGCCGCCTATGCTGATCGGCTACAGGCTATTGAGGGATACAAGCGGGGTGTTGCGCAAATTGAGAGGATTGAGGGGTCGTTTACCGCTAGTTTATGAGACTGGTCATCTTGCCATCAGTCTGGAAAATCAAGCCCTCTTGTGCGTTGTCTTACATTGGACAGGTTGTTATAATGTATAATCGATGATACGAGTCAGTCTTGGTGGTGAGCATTATGATTTATACAAATGAGAGTACATATATAGATGGATCAATGACACAAATCTTACCTTACAATAATCCAAAACTAATCCATGCAATAAATAATTAATTACCTCAATCGACAACGGATAAACCGAAGATGTTGTTTTCTTCCTGATACACGAGTGGATTGGATTATTTATCAAATTGAAGAGGTATTCGCCAAGAAACAGCATCATTGGTCTAGTGGTAGAATTCGTCGTTGCCATCGACGAGGCCCGTGTTCGATTCACGGATGATGCATTGAGATTTGTTTTTTTCCTTCTCTTTTCTTCTATTCATGGCTCATCTGGAGTCATGACAATTTTGAAGGTCAACTTTTAACGTTGAACAATCACAGTTTAGGTCACCCTTGCCCGGTAAAGGAATATTCATTTGACAAACAGCCTTTGATATGTCCATAATAATCGCAAAAGTGCATCCACAGAAGAACAATTCACTCCTTGGCGACAGCACTGAGAATGGTCCAGCCACTTGGTGCCGTCTTTCTGATACTCGTATCATTCTTCAAGAAGCAGCGATGGGTGCGGTTGGTGGATGAAGGTGCTGTTTCATCCCAGCTCACTCCCTTGCATGGGGCTCCCTTGATCATGGTATTATAACTCACACAGCGCTGGATGCACTGTTCAAGGGAATTGGTCTTGAAGTTTACGAGATCGTCGTCGGAGATGGTGACGCTTGCACAGCCACCCGTGTCAGAGCAAAGATCCGTGTCGCATAACCGGATATAGTCTTTTTGCTGGACGGTGATTGTCGTCCCCTTCGTCGGACAGCTTGTGGCGCTGGAGGTTGCCGAAGACGAAGCCGAAGTCGAAGTAGAGGCGGCTGATGCGGTCGAGGTAGGGGTGGAGGTACTGTTCCATTGGATACCCAGATCAGCATTGTTCAATCATTTCATATACATTCGCTACCCACCCGGAGTCCTTTTTCGCAAAAGAGGCGCCTACACCCACCGCTGTAGCAATAACCGCCACAGCAACTACCACAGCAATCCAGAAATACAGTCGCCGGAACCCGCATATTGTTCGCGGAGCATCCTTGACACTTTTGACCTCTTGGCTTTGGCCAACCTCTGTTTCGACCGGTATCGGTGCCTCGGATCCGTCTCCGGCGTAATAGAGGGGTGCATCTCTCTCATACCGCGGAATCAGCCCATCAGGTATCACCACTTCAAGGCCAGGCTGTTCGGGAGACCTTGGTTCCTCGGTCTGCTTGGTTTCCATCTGGGGCAACACGGAGCTTTGTGTACTCAGGACATTTTGTTCGACGAAAATAGATGTCAGCCACATGGGCTTCGGTGGAGCTTAAAAGGCTCATGGGCCGATGGTCAAGAAATGTGTGCATGGGGTGAGCCTCTCAGGCGGATTAAACAAATATAGTGAGCCAATGGGTTGTCTGTATGTTCGTTGGCTATGCAGCTAGTCTCTGACTAGGTTCAGGCTTAGACAAGGCTGGGACGACGGTTATTCTACTCTGAGAAAACAGCTAAGAAGACAGCGGTATAGCAAATATCTAGATCCTAAAGATACAGATCGGCGTATTGAGCCAGCCAGAGCCATGTTACTGTAGTCTGCTATATAGAAACAAAATAACATTGTGAGAAAAGGAGAGGGAAATATCAATCCAGAGTCGAGAGTCAAGACATATCACTAAACATTGAGTTTATACTAACAGTTAGTGCCGAGTACTGACCATTTATAAGACAGTCGGAGTAGCACAGGCTCCATATTATCAATGGCTGTGGAGATGATGTGGATCATCTCTAGAAGATGATCAGGGATATCTCCACAGTCATTGTCAACTTGCCGTGTCTAAGGTGAAGCTGACTCGTGTAAGCTGTTCAGTTTTGAAAAACTGCTAGAATAATACTGTTTATATTCAGTGACTGAGGATGGCCAGGGATGCAAAGGCAGCATCTGAGCGAGCTAGGAATGGCTGCTCTATTCAAGATGGTTTCTGTTCTTATCAATATAGTTACAGAACCTTAGGGCAGACAAGCCTGACTAAGAAAAGACGAAGCTTAGGCATTTCCCACCAACATAGGACTCTACTACAGTCAGTACTTCTGCAGAACAAGCACATCAATGATTCAGCGGCGCACACCCGTCGAGAAATACTTCGCGAAGCGGACCATCGAGAAAATGAAGGGCCTAATTCACGAAAGCCTCGACAGACTCGTCTACCACTTCAAAGAAGCCCATGCCTCGCACCAGGTGGTCTCTCTCGACGCGGGATTCGCAGCCCTAACCTCCGACATTATCCACAAGTACGTGTTCGGGTTCTACCTGGCTAACCTCGACAAGGAGGGGTTCAACGCCAAGGTCAGAGACAGCGTCAACGGGCTCTTCCAGCTGGCGCACATTCGCTACTTTTCCCCCTCCTGCAGACCGTTGTGAACTTGATGCCGCTGGAGGGGTTGCGCAAGTTCAATCCCCTGGTGTTTGCTCTCGCCAGTCAGAAGAAGAAATTGTACCATCGGGCCGTAGCCGCGCTGGAGAATCCGCATTCGCATTCCAACAATAGCAGCGGGACTGTATTTGACACTCTTGTATCGCCGACGCTGCTGGCGCACATGCGCAGGCCGGAGGGGCTGATAAACGAGGGATTTGGCCTGGTGATTGGTGGCGCGGAGACGACGGCTCGTGCGCTTGGTATCTGCGCGTGGTATTCGTATAGCAGGAAAGATATTCTGGCTAAGCTCAAGGAGGAGTTGAAGCAGGTGATGCCGACAGCAGATTCAAGACCGACGTGGAAGGAACTTGAAGGGTTACCTTCTTTGGTGAGAATCTTGGGCCGGGGAGTTTTACATCACTAACCCTAGCAGTCTGGCGTGATTGCTGAATCCCCTATGCCTAGGTATTGGGCGTGGCGAGTCGCGCCTACGGAGGCGTTGGTATACAAGGACTATACTATCCCGCGAAGCGTCAGTATAAGACAATAACCCCACAGAAAGACAGAAGCAAGATTGCCCTAACAAGTACAGACCCCCGTCAGCGAATCAAGCTATTTTGTCCTCATGGACCCCCAAATCTTCACCGACTCGCACGAATTCGACCCAGAAAGATGGATACGTGCCACTGCAAAAGGACAACGGCCCGATCGGTACATGGTGAACTTCTGCAAGGGAAGTCGAACCTGCACTGACATGAACTAGAAGTAATACCTTCCAACCAGCTGTCCATTACTAACCCATGTAGTCTGGCGTATGCCGAGATGTTCCTGACCATCGCGACGTTGGCACACCGGTGTAATATGGAGCTGTATGAAACGCCCAAGGAGAGTATTGAATTTGCTCGGGATTCTGGCACCCCGTACCCTGCGAAGGGAAACTTGAGCGTACGGACGATGATTACGGTGTCATCGAGTAGGGTGCATAGTCTGTGTAAGGGTGAATCTGAGGTTGATTTGCTTCCATATTTAGAAGAAGACTGTCAGTATACAAGCAAGGGAAATGTAGCTAACACTGGACGACGTATCTGATGAAGAAAATTGTGTCACATATACAAGGGCCAGGTAAGCCAGAAGATCCAAGTGGGTAGTAGGAGGGGCAATCTAACCAATTAGCACAGTTGGAGCGTAGAGAATGACATACTGAAGGCGTGTCTTGGTATTAGTTTACCTTATTTCAAAGTGTACATACTTTATGCTCATCAAGACCTCGTGGTCATTCTCAACTCGTATATAATTCCTGTCCTCTATGCTCCACCTAATCATAAAGCTTTAGCTCAAATCCTGCTAACCTATAGATATTCAGCTGATATACCTATAATACCACATAAATCTGCTCTGCTTGAAAATATATTCATGACGAGGATTTCAGTCTATTTGCGAGGGGATGATATACTAAGAACCCAAACATAGATGCACTGGCTCGGTCATATGCTGGTACTCAGTAAGGACAAATGAAGAAAAAAAGGATTCAACATGGCAATGAGCAGAACAGAGCATCTCCCTTAAAATGACAGAAAACTGGCAGACAACATTAATTCATTTTAAGGTGTAATACTTGCATCAGATACTACAAGTACCTACGCTAATATTGTACTGGTTAATTCTATATAGCCTTATATTTGTCTATTATAACATTAGCTTCTCTTATCTACTGTTAAATGTAGTAATGAATAGGACGCAGGAATACGTAGGTCAGTGGCTAGCCCTGTAATAGGGTATCAAAGAAGAATACCACTAGGCCAAAAGGGCGTCCGGACTATGGCGCAGTCAGGATAGGGTCTCATAGCTGTAATCATGGCGGTATTCTATTTTCTAACATGGGGGGCACTGAATAAGTTTAGGAGTTAGGACACGTCCTCCGCCCTGTGGGGCGTACGCGCTGCCATCCTGGAAACGCCCCGTTCTGGGCCGTGTCATGCCTCATACCGTGTACCAATCAAGATATTTCGCGCCTTACATCTCCAGTTTTCCACTCCGTTCCTACACAGGTCACAGAAACTGAAAGCAAGACTCCGGCTTGGAGAGTTATGGCCATTATTCGCAAAACGAGCGAATTGACATACTACTATATTGATTTGAGGGACCATACCCTGGACGGTATTGGAAGCCTCTGTCCGCTCGACAATGGACAGCGACATGATGCCCCAAGGAGTACGTTGGGAGCTTTGGACAAACTCCCTTTGGAACTTCTTAACATAGTGCTCATACAACTTGGAATCCGGTCACTTACCGACTTTCGACGCGTCAATCGACAAGCCAGAGGGGTCGTAGATTCGATTCCACAGTACCGAAGGATTATCCAGCACGCACCTGTCACCATCCGAGGAATACTGAGCATCGAAACAGGAGATTGGATCTCATGTCAAAATCTCTACGCAAAGCTATGTACGGCTGAGTGCGACGGTTGTGGTGATTTTGGCGGCTATTTATACCTGGTCACGTGTCGTCGTGTTTGTTTTCTCTGCTTCACGGAGAAGACTGCTTATCTTCCACTGCTCCGAACGGATGCCATGCGAAAATTTGGACTCCGTCGAGAGCACCTAGCGAATTTGCCTCGAATGAGAAGTATTCCAGGCCGTTACTCACCACGGGAGATCAAATGCAGTACGCGACTTACACTCATTGATCATGACTCTGCGCGACAAGCTGGGATTCGCTTGCATGGGTCTGTCAGTGCCATGGAGCATCATGCAGCAGAATTAACATCTGGAAAACTAGAGAGATATCAGCATCGAGCCTCAGGACATGAAGCGCGGCAAAGTCAACGTACGCGCCGGCCCAAGTTAGAGGATGACTTTGATGGATTTTCGTCGAATCCCAGACGTTTCATGGGCATTGTTCGTGCACCGCTCATAGATATGCGCCTAGGAACGATGGAATGGGGTTTCCACTGTATCGCTTGCAAATCCCACCATTATGATAAACCTCTTCATTGGCGCCGGATGTTTACAAAAGACAGTTTCAAGGATCATATCTCTGAATGTGGGGAGGTAATAAATGGACATCACAACAGACATTTACATAGTGATCGATGACAACAATGACCGACATGAATAACAAAATCCTCCATGCCAACTGTTTCGTCTCAGAAGTAGCAATCAATGCTGTCGCCCCTTCGACATTTCTCATTTTGAACCTTTGTTCACCGGCGCATCTCGTCCTTCCCGGGTTTCACCATATGGCGTGCGCACATGTGGAGAGATGGATCTAATGGTTCCCACGTCACCGGCGAGCATTTGACGTTTGTGCCAATTCTTTCATCGCATTGTTTGAATTCCTCCGGTTTCTTACAGCCGCAGGTGTACATTCGGAAATACTGCTTACACATTCTAATTGAGTTAGTATTTCCACAAATTTGCCCTCATTATGTTGACTGTACTTACCTTAAACCGGAGATTTCGATCGAGGCAGCTCGGGGGAGAAACGGCTTCTAACTAGAATATCGAAGACGTAGACGTATAATTTGGCCCGAAAAAGTATTTTGAGCGTTGGTTAAACGAAAGCATGACAGTGTAGCAGAGGCGACATGGCTTTTATAGATAGTAGCCCTGCTCCAGAGGAGAAAGCTCCAAAGCTTGCAACTGGATGAGGGCGTTAAAATGTAGCAAATCACATATGGACCGGAGAGTTCATCTCTAAGGTATCTCGCTTCTGTCTAGCAGCCGCAACCAATCCAAACTGCTCTATAAGCGCTGACTTGCCGCCACTGTGTAGACGCGCAGGCTCAGTGCTCCGCTGGATCGGATCTCTTGGTTGACGACGATTCCTGAAAATTGCTTTCTTTTCATCGATTGCTACTTGGAGCATCGTTCTATAAATATATTGGCGCCTTCACGCCTACGGTACCTTGAGGAACACTTAATTCCAACTTGCCGTTGCGCTCTTGATTTATCGCTTCTGCTGAACGGGTCTTCCTTAACTGGCCTTACTCTGCCAATGCCTATGATGTCGCACAATGCACGGAGAAAAATCGAGCTGCTCCAGGCGGAAGCCGATGAAAACGATCAAAGTTTCTTCCGATTACTGGTAGACGGACGCGCCATCAAATACATCACCATCGAGTCTGGAATCTACAGTGTAGAAGATATGTGCTTCGGCCCATCCCTAGTTTCCCTTCTACCCGAACTTCCTCCCGGAGACTGGAACGACGGACTGGTAGCTCGAGAGGGAGGAAATGGTCCACCGCGGTTTACGCGCACTAGTCGGACGGCATTTGCCAGCGTCAGGAATACGTGGCATAACACGTTCGTCGACTACCTGGATATCGTCGTGGGTAGGAAATTACGAACAGGCGTCTACGAGGTTAGCTGTCCGTTATTCGACAAGGTTGTCGTTGCAAAATTCGCCCGCTTCGATTGGGAGGTGCAGTACATGGAGAACGAAACTACGGCTTACCAGTGGATTGACGGTTATGATATCGGGCCCCGGTTCCTTGGTCATTTGACTGAAGAGGGCCGGGTGATAGGGTTCTTAATGGAGCGGGTTCCAGCTGAACGGCATGCTGGCCCTCAGGATCTTGAGGCATGCCGGGAGACATTGTCTCGGCTGCACGATTTGGGAATTCGGCACGGTGATATAAATCGATTCAACTTCCTGATTTGTCAGTCGAAAGCCGTTTTGATTGACTTTGACACGGCACAGAAGTGCGCCCATCAGGCTTTATTGCTAAAAGAGTTGGAAGATTTACCTCTGCGGCTAAACGATCCGTCTAATAGGGGTGGTGGAGGGATTCTTTAGTGATTGTCCCGCCAGCGGTGGGCGAAAGGAGTCAGGAGTGCCTTTCCAACAGGAAACTGGAAACGCTAAAGCAATATTATGGCAATCCTGCTAGGACTGTGAAGACTCCGGCCTGTCATCACTCGAAATTCCGTGTCCTAGGATAGTCTCAGGATTTTTTCTCTCAGATCCTCAGGCGGCCAGCTTTGGAATATTACGTTGGTTTCTACAGCTTTCCCTTCCCAGTAGTCAATAAAGTCAACGTTCTCCAGAACAAACCCCCAAGCTTGCGCAACTCGTTCATCGGGTCTATAACCTGTCCCCGAGGCCCAAGTTACCGTCCTCCTCCCAGTGAGATGATCGGTAGAGAACTCAAAGGTAGACTGGTCATCAGCAAGAACTACGAGCCTGATTGTCTTCAATCGTGGCATACGCTGTGCTGCATATCCCATGGCAATAAAAAGACGATGGAAGTGCTCAAAGTTCATCACCGTGCGGTCATACGGCGATTCCTCAATAAGTCGAATGTCCCACAATTCTGGAGACTCGATGTTAGGTACTTCTGTCTCGTCATAAATTTCAGGAGTTGGATGGAAGAGCCATTCCCCTGGTAAAATATGGAGTCATTTTTGGCATTGAAAATAGAGGAGTTGTGTCTTGTCGGAGTGAAATCAATTGGGGAAGAAGTTTACCTGAGGAAAGGTAGTCTGGCACTTCATCAAACTCGATTGTTTTGAGATAAGGCCAATGCAGTGATGCCTCACAGCCTGCTGCTCTGCCTTGGCTATCCAGTGGCCAGAAGAAATCCGAGGTGACTGCCACGTGCGATATCTTTAGTTCTCGGAGATGGAGACTCAGGGACCGCACATCTAAGGCGAACTTGTCTATTTTGTCTGACAGAACGTTGAGGGCAGGAAGAGTGTTTTGCCATGGCTTTTCGAGTTGATTGAAATAGTGAAATACTCTCAAACTGCCCGGCAAGTTACAAAGTTCCTCAGCCACAGCTAGAAGAACATGTCAGTCATGAACATTCACCAGAAAAAGGAGAACGTTACCTTGCCGCCGGTCTCGCATGTAGTCCAAATGGTCTGGCCGAACAAATTCGTCTAGCCCTAAATACAGCCAAGTCAGGGTTGGGCAACACTGAGCGATCTGGAGTGCCGTTCCAGCCCAGATCATATGCCAGGGGTCACTCCCTGCGTTAGGAAAACAAAGCTTGTCAATGCACGAAACAGATGGCAACTCGGATGCATCATCATCTGGAAGCTGGGCACGGTACGGCCGGACAGACTTATTGCCGTCTTGAAGCCAACGGAATTCTCTGATGTCGGAATAACACTTTTTGGTCCCTGGTTCTAACCCTTTCTGGCATCCCAGTGTGGAAAGGACGAGGGAAAGGCGACGAGTGACCGGCCAACAGGCTAGGATGGTGAATAATCTAGTTATACCTTCCCCAAATGCCTCGTCATTTGCCTGCCTGATGGGATTTACTTTTTGATATGTCTTATCTTCCGCAATGGTTGCGCAATAATCGTCTAGTTGGTAGGGCAACACGACACGGTACTCTAACTCGCGAATCATAACAAGTCGCCTCACACCCGTTCCCGATGTGACGCTCAGAAATCTGGAGAGAGAAAGAGCTTTGTGACGCTCGGGACTGACACTATGGACACAGATTTCTCTGTAAATGTGTGGCTCGAAGGCTGCCTGCCATTTGCGGCACACGATGGTGTACCGCGCAAGAGGCTCATGAGATTCTTTTAAACATACTGCTACCTCAGATAATACCTCAAGTGGCAGCTGATTTCCCATGTTGCGGGTAATCAAAGCGAGTTTGTAAACCCTTGAAGAGAAACATGCAAATGAAGCAGCCCCTGACCATAAAGCCAAGACAAACCAGTCCCAAGAACTCAAGGCGAGAGCGCGTTTGAGAACTAGAAAACGGGCGCTGCCGCACGCTGAGGCCCTGAAACGACCAGGCAAAGAAGTGAAGAAGAAAAAAATGGGAGCGTTTGGCTACCCGAATGCTGAGGTTTTGCAAGTGATGATCAATGCCAGGACACAATCAGGATGATATCTTAGACTTGAGGAACATCAGCATCAAGTGGTCTTCCAGAAGCTCTGCGGTGTATCTTTAAGCTCCCGCTAACGTTTTAGCCTTAATAATCACCAGAGAATATTAGGTCTGAGCTCTATAGATTATGCCTATTACTACTGCAGCGGATGATCGCCAGTCCTTGCTGAGTACTACGACCAAAGATGCTCCAGGTTCCCTCTCGTAAAAATCCAATAGCAATGGCAATCTATAATGGTATCATACAGGTCGTAACATCATCCAAAATACATTGAGACTATACAGTTGCGGTTTTCCCCTCTGTCTCCTGGATCGCCGGAACGCTCTGCGTCTCGCGTCCATAGTTCGATCTCGGACCCAGCTCGTCATCATGCTTATGGGACATGAACAAAATGGCAGTACTATCCTGCGTCAGCGATCTCCTCTTGCACCTAACTCCAAAGAAAAGACATACCTCGCAACGGTGGCAACCCAACCGGGCCAGGCAAAGACAACAGACGCAATAGCTTTCGGGTTTGTCCGGTATTCTTCATGATATTAGCCAGCGTGACGAAATCAGCAGCAAGCGGATACATACGCAGAGCAGGCTTCTTGGCCGGTTCTGCCCAGAATTTCCTGGCGGATGCGGCGTCGGTCCCGGTGATACGGGCGCTATGCGTGGCAGTGATGATCTAGACTCATGAGCAGTCTGCACAGCAATATCCAGAATATGAAGGTCATACAGTCATGGTCAGAGCCGAAGCGAGCATCATCACGGACACCACCACCCCGGATATCTTCCACGCCAACCGAACAGATTTACTCTCGTGTCTTTCGGGCCAGAACAGGTCGAAGAAAAACGCGGCGCCGAAGATGGTTGCAACAGAGACCCCGACGAAAATGTTATACGAGGCAGCGCCGATGAAGTCGTTGTTGTGGACTTTGGTTTCGGGGTGCTGTTGCTGGATGGCATCTTGTTGGTCGAGATAATCTAGACACAACCAGCGTTAGATAGGTTATCCCAGTACACAATGGGTAAAGTACCTGATAAAGCGGCCGTTCCAACCGATTCAGAAATGACGCAGAATATCATGGCCATCTGGTAGACAATCATCTTCGTGCGGCGCAGGTGGTACGCGCGGTTGAACATTTTTGCTCCTTTGAATTTGTTCCATTGTATTTCGTGGAGGTCGAGACCCCATATGATGGCCATTGAATTAGTCTATTGCTCGGATAGTATATATATTAAGCAAATGGATGCTATTGCTGCTCAGAAATGGAGACGAGGTAATAGATAAAGGTGGGTAGACAGGTAGACAATGGGTGGAGGGTTGACAGTTTTGTCAGCTCAGATCTCCAGAGAATGACTGACTAATATAAGTCGAGCCATGCGAGATTAATAATGTTACACAAAAGCCCGAAACTTGTTTCTTTTCGGCAATACATGGTGACTCTGACACTGACGATGCCGATGATGGCGGTGGTGGTGGTAGTACTTGTGATGGACGGGGTGACGTCAACGAACAAACAAGCTCCAAAAAAGCCAAAACGTCATCAGCGGAGATCTTCAATGACATGGCCACTACGGAGTATGCGCATGATTATGATTCTACAAACAGCAGCATTGTCTTTTTATCTTGTATATTCTAATAATAGGTAGATCCTTGTATCGGCTAGCTAAATCATTGCCCAAGTGGGAAAGTGCTGAGCGCATCATTACTCTACTATCTCCACGGCACTAGGTATGATCGTCGAGACATGTTTTGCAGTTGGGGATTTGTGGTTGACAGGAAGCTAAACCAAGACCAGAGCCAAAGATCGCTCCTGTCATATGCTTATATCAATCATAGAAAGGCTTATCAGGCTGTCCAAGAACACTTCCTCTGGCCAAGACCATCTTGGCTCTGTGGAGACCAACACGATAAAAAAAAACCAGAGCTAGAGAAATACAAGTTGATATTATACTCTGCTGGAATCCCTCACATAATAATATACTGGTGAACTAACGGACACTCTACACTAAATAGTGGCGTTCTGGTGAGGGCCATTGATACTAGTATTTATTATCCAACGCTTCTTCATTCAGCTATGGCTTCATCAATTCAGAGTGTAAATATCTTCGCAAGAGGCCTTCCGACAGAAAGGCTCTTTGAACAAGCCGCATTCCCTCTCTCTTCCCCATTATTCATACGCTTAGTTGTTGTGGATTTCCTCATTGACGTCCATGATTGCTTTCCGAATGCATACCGCACATTTCTCGCAGACTTGACGAAAGGTGTGCTTCAGCGCCGCCCGGTCCTGGAAGGCAGAGGACATGGATGCAGCTGAGGATTGGGCAAAAAAGTCTCGAGAGTCTAATCTAAAAACCACTTGGGAACCTCCGGACCCCAAACAGCCAACGACTCATCACCTGCAGGCCCATACCCAACCGCCGTCTCCTCGTTCACCAAATCCCCATCCGCATAATGCTCAATCATGTTCCCAGTGGTATCCCACCAGTAATCAAATAGCTGCGAGCCGAGAATGTGTCGTCCCACACCCCAGACAGACTCATACCCCTTCTTCGCCAGCCACTGGTGTCCCAGGTTCTGCGTGTCAAAGTCATGCACTTCAAACGAGCAATGATGTACATGCGAGGTGGGATTCGTGCTCATGAAGAAACTGTGGTGGTCGACATAGTCCGCGCCGCGATCGATGTGCGCGAACAGAGCGACGTTCTTCTTGTTCCCGTCTTTCTCAACGTAGAGGAAGTCGCTGGGCACAAGGTTGAAGGTTGTTGTGTAAAAGGTAACCATTTCCTGGAATTTTTGGACGCAGAGGCCGAAGTGACCCAGCTGGATCTGTCAGTTGCTGTATGAGAATAGCCTGGGGAGACGTACTTTGTGGACGGCCGCAGGACCGGGAACGAAACGCTGAAAGTGGCGGACACGAGGCTTGTCCGACTCGTAGTTGACGACGAGCTTGGAGGGATATTCACCTGGAGCTGCTGGTGCCTGGCCGTAGACGAGATTGATCGGGAATCCTTCTGGATCTTTAATGGTGACCATGAAGCCGCCTCCCGGTGCGTCTTTCAATTCTTGGATAGCGCTGCCTGTGGGCAGATTGGCTGCTCTGCATACATTATCAGCAGCCTGAAGTCTCGTCATAGGAGTTGTAAATACATTTCCAGATCTTGGTACGACTCCACCTCAAACGTCCCTCCGAGGAACTCTTTCTTCGGCCCTTTGCGAGCATAGTAAACATACGGATCCGTCCCGTAGCCTCGGTACCACACTTCGTCATCTGTCTTTTTGACCACTTTCATACCAAAATCTATTCCCTTCAGTCAGGATTCAGGTCTTCTTGATAGCCGATGACTAACCTTGGAGGAAGACAGTAATCGCATCAAGATCAGGATGTTGATAGCGCATATGCGCCAACTTCACCAGTCTGATCTGATTCTCTGTCTTAATGCCACATCGTTCCTTCCACTTCGCCAAAGATTCTCGTTCTTCACCGATAGCGACTACGTCCGGGACCGAAGCTCCGCGACATGGCCGGATCTCTGTTTGCGTGGTTTCGGACTGTCGAACTGTCAACACCCCAGAGTGCGTAGCTGGTCCTAACCCCTAACTTACCATATTTTTCGCTGTGCATGCCAATATCAAAAATCAGGCTTGTCAACGAACGAGAATCGATACCATGTAAACATATTTCTTTCTCGGCTGTCGGCCTTCAGCTGAATACCGGGGAGAACATTCCCCGCATCTTGGATAGAAGTGCAGGCAAATGAAATGCCGCGCCGCAACGGTGTCCCACACGCTAGGCGGGGATCATCCCACATTGATTTGCATGGACAATGGAAGCAGCCTACCGAGTATGCAGTAGATAGGTCACATATGTTACGATAATCGGCACTAGTGAGATCAGAGGACCTTGTGGTTGCGTGGGGCTCATAGGTGGTCGTGGGTTCGACTGGCGATCCATCCACATCGGTGTCAACATTCCCGATTTGCTCAGTTTGAGTAAAATGAATGCGCTACGCTCCAATATATGCGAACAATAACATGTTCGTCGGCAGATGATCATTCTTAAGCCATCCGATGCTACATCGACCGAGGCACTCTAATCATCAAAGTGGCCCAACAGGCTATCAGAACGAGTGCAGTCGCCGCCATATACGGAAGACCAAGCCATATCCCGTGCAACCTCATACTGAACTTGAACGTGCCTGCCATCATCGGTCCCGCGATGATTGCACCTATGCTCTGGGTCAGGGCAATTGTCGTCCCCAAAAGGCCTATCTCGGCCTCATCCACCAATGCCGTGGCAACGCTGCGTAGCGCGGGGACGAAACCCATTCCCAGCGAGGAGATCGATAGCCCTACAGCGAAGACTGTAGGACTGGCGGCTAGTGCCATGACGACGTGTCCGACGGCGATTGTGAGGACGCTCCCTGCGGAGATGCGCAGGTCTCGGCGAGTCGGGGGAAGTAATCTGTCTAGGACTTTGGAGAGGGCGGGGAGGATGAGGAGTAGGGTGGATAGGTTCATTAGTCCTCTCAAAGAGATGAGAAAGCTTGCCTATTTCATGTCAGGAGGGACAATCAGTGGAGAATGGAACTATAGGACTGTACCTCTGCCATGGACCACGAGAAGCGCTTCGAGACGTATTGTAGCGTGATCACAAGCGACTGGATAGCCACATTTGCCGTCAGAAGGGCGATGGAGATACAAACAATGTTGCGTTCAGTGAAGATGAACCGGCTGTGATGCATGATCTGATGCCTGGCGCGACGCAAGACGGCCGTTAGACGGTGACGGACTGTCCATGGAGCGTTATCATCCGCCTCATCATCTTCAGTGCCAGGCTCGCTCAGTTCGGTCGACTTCGGCAGCGTCTCCGGTACAGCTATGGGGGCACAGAGGCCACAAAGCATGAAAAGTACTCCCAGGAAGTACGGAAGCCAGGGTGTCCAGGACATGAGCCAGGCACTCAGAGGGCTTGCGACAATCTCAGATACCTGTGTTGATGCACCAATGATAAAAAAGATATTCGCCCTGCAACCATTACCATCTAGCATATCAGCGTCTGAATAATTGACATACCGCTTCTCCACCGGAAACACATCAGTTATCATCGTGAAAATCATAGATATGGCAATCTGGGAGCCACCACCGCAGATCTGGAATAACGACATGAACCACACCGTCCGCAGGGGAATAAATGCGCTGTACCATGCTGTTCACCATTAGCAAGGAAACAATCTATGATCAAGTCACTTACCAATAATCCGCACCATCACCTCTTCCATAGTCAGGCCAATCAAACTCAACATCAGCACTCTCTTCCGTCCCGCTTGATCAGCCACCAGGCCAAAGGGAAGAGCTAGAAATATCCCCGGCAGCGTATCGAGCGTCTCCTTCCAGCCATTGACGAGCGCCAGCTCACCCTGGACATCGGGGGCCTTGCATCTGGCATTCCGCTCCTTGGTGGTAAGAAGTGCAGTTTCGGGGTGCAGTTTCTGACAGATGATAGACTCGAATATTTGTATCTGTGGAGCCATGGCCAGATAAGAGCCAAAGTTCACTGCGATGATGCCTAAGCTTAAGGCGATGAGGACCCATCGTGCGCGGGTGAACCGGCCGGACTCAGGCGCGTGGTCGTGGCCTAGCAAGGGAGTTTCCTCGCATATACGATGTCTGGACTCGTCCAACATTCTGTTGATGATATGGTTGAGATCATGGCGGAAGAAGGGTCAGAAATGATGACGGTCGTGTTTATTAAGAGGGAAAAAGTCGATGCCTGGGAGACTGGCCGTTATCCCCTGCCCGTACAGATCAGGTAAGGTACCTTGACGCCGGAGAGCAGCTACCAACGCTCATTGGTTAAAGCTGTTTCCAGCTGGAGCGTGGGTTACTCTGATTGGCTGATTCTTATCAATCGGGGTAAATAAATCAACTCCGAATCGGAGTTCGGAGTTCGACCTGTAAAACAACGCATCAAAATTCAGGGATTGTTGCCAGGAAGAAGAGTCAGCAATGATGTCTTGACTGCATCATGATGCTAATGCATTCTGTGTGGTTATTTCCTGATGAAGTAAGTAGTGGCTGGAATGCCATTGTCAACACAGAACAGAGAACAATCTGATTCTGACATGAGTATTCTGCTGCACAAAAGTACCCTTGAGTACAATGCACAAAATGACGTGCTTAAACCTCGACATATGAGACATAAGAAGGCAAAACCACACATAAAATAACCTGTTCGAACCCTTTTGCGCTTGACTAAATCGTCCCCAAGGTTCTCACAAGCATCCTTGGCATCGAACTGTGCAGCGGACTTGGCCCTTGGCATTACAGCTACAGGAATTAATCCAGCATGGTGAGTTGCTCCAGGAACTGCACATAATGTCGGAGTCTTCAAGACATTACTGGACACCCAGTCATCACTCCACCTCCCACGTGGCATGTCCCGCAATTGGAAAGCCCCTGTGCAGGCGCTGGACATGATACTGCAAAGGTAACCAAGTGAGAACCTTGAAGCCGCCAAGGTCTCCCACCCCACTTGGCGATGCCATATTACCTCAGACCAAGAGTCCATTAATCAAAGACGGATCTTGGAAGAGCACCAGGAGAGGGACTGAGTATGGCGCCAGCAGCCACATATAAACCCAGCGGACCCTTCTTTTCCTGCCACGAACAGTTCTTCCATTCCCTCCATTCCTCCAGGACCCTTTATCCCCTCGTTAAGCACAATGAGGCACTTCGTGTTTACTCTTATCGCCTTGGCCACCACCTCGGCCTTGGCTCAAGATCCCGGCCCATCGCCTACAGCCTCTGTTGGCTGCGAGCCACATGGCGACCATTGGTATGACATGACCGAAAACGATCAACCCAGTAAGCTCACAGCATATAGGCACTGTGATGGTCCAGCTACAGGAACCGCTACTACTACCAGCGAGCTGACCCTCGCTCCAAGTCCCACTGCGTCTGTGGGATGCGAACCCCATGGGGACCACTGGCACTGCGACGGGCCCGCCTCCGCCACGGCCATGCCAACGCCGCCCTCTGATGACCACGACCACGACCACGACCACGGCCACGACCATGATGTCGACAGCAACGCGACACCGGCTGTCCCTAGTCCCACGGAGTCGGTTGGATGCGAACCGCACGGCGACCATTGGCACTGCGATGGGCCCCGGGAGACTGGTAGTGCTTCTGCGAGTGCAAGCGACGCGTCCGCTTCAACTTTGGTCTCGACTACTGCATCTGCCTCGGCGTCTGCGACTGGGGCGCAGCAGACGGGTGGAGCTGGCTCTTTGAGCGTGGAATTGACTGTGGCGGTTGGTTTGGCTGTTGCCGCTGCGGCGTTTCATGTTTGAAGGGTTAACATCGTGAGATGATATGATGTGCTATGCATTTATCGGCGTCATGATGATGGGCCGTCGCGACTTATGTGCATGTTCAAGACGGTGAGAAAGAGTCAAGCTCAAGACGGACCTGCTCATTATCCATGTGTTTTATGTGAAGACCTGGCTGTATAATAGAAAACAAGTCTCGCAGTGTGTGGTCGAATAAACAATTATTGCTTGAGAAGAGTAGCAAATGAGAGGACGGAGTGAAGATACATTGACTTGGCTGATCAATGTAACGCTATTTTGGAATCGAATCTAACCACAATAATGCTATCTATATTTCAAACACCGTCTCGGGATCCGCTCTAACGCCGTTTGAATCATGCGGGTGGCGTCCACCCTTCCGCCAGACGCGGACCGACGTCGTACGAGCCCATAATAGGCACCAAGATATTAGCGGAGTATTTCGATCTAAAACAATCCATCATTAATTAAGGTACAGAGAGATCATGATTGCCTGTCCCTGCATGGCTATTATCCTAGGATCCACCTTCCTCCCGAGTGGCCTGTTCCTGGTCCAGCCATTCGGATCATGCCATCCCGGGTAACTTGACCTATTCGCGCGGTCTATATAGAGCATCAACAATATCAATTGGCTTGCGACAAACTCTCCCTCTACTGAGCCTGGACTAAGGTATTCACCATGGACTCGCTCAATTCTACATATCCACAGCCAGCCATGGCAGCCTATTCTGATTTTCTCGAGCTCGCCGCTCAGAAACAGCCTCATCTCTCCAGTCTCGAGCGACTCTGGTGGGCGCATTATGCCTACTGGGACAATAACATTCTCGCAACCGGTGAGTTAGCAAAGACGATCCACCATCTCGCTCAATCCTAACGATACAGGAATCATCACCTTCCTCGCCCACGAAATCATCTACTTCAGCCGCTGTCTCCCCTGGATCATCGCCGACGCCCTCCCCAGCATCTTCCTCAAATACAAGATCCAAGACCAGAAACCTCCTCCATCTGCAGCAGAGCAATGGGCCTGCACAAAGTACATCCTCCTCATCCACTTCGTCGTCGAGCTCCCCCTCATCGTCCTCTTCCACCCAATGATGGAACTCTGCGGCCTGAGCTTCACGACCCCCTTCCCAGACCTTCGCTCCCTCGCCGCCCAAATAATCACCTTTTTTCTTCTTGAAGACACATACCACTACTGGCTGCATCGCGCAATGCACTGGGGCCCGCTCTACCGCTCCATCCACCGCATCCACCACCAATACGCCGCGCCCTTTGGGCTAACAGCCGAGTACGCCAGTCCCTGGGAGACCCTCTTGCTGGGTCTCGGCACCATCGGGCCTCCATTGCTCCTGGGACTAATGAACTGCAACGTGCATTTGGTGACGGTGCTGGCGTGGGTGACGCTGCGGCAGTTCCAGGCCATCGACGCGCACTCGGGGTACGATTTCCCGTGGAGTCTGAGGCGGATTATGCCGTTCTGGGGCGGTGCGGATTGGCATGATGATCACCATCGGTATTTCTGGGGGAATTATTCCAGTTCGTTTAGGCATTGGGATGGTGAGTGTTTTATGTTGTTGTTTAGTGTGTCTGCTAACGGCGTCTAGTGTTGATGGGTACAGTTGCTGGTCCGGAGGCGAGGGAGAAGAGACGCGCGGAGCGAGAGAAGCGGCAGGCATGATTTTCAGGATGGTCGCGGAACGCATTATTATCCTCGATTGTATCGATAGTCTTACTGTAATGTAATAGTTTGGTTGACATCGGAAGTTCTCTGCTTCCAATATGCAAATAATGCCATCACTAATGACTTCCTATGGTGCCGTGGTGAAGATTAAGTCATCCCTTATGCCGGTAGTAAACCACTCCGACCTAAGCGATTGAACGGAACAAGGGTACTACTAGTCGTGGTTCAAGAGAAGTAAGGAAGAAGCATTGTTGTGAATTGTCAGCAACATCATCGGAATAGAGAACTTGAAATCCGCCATGGCAAGGCCTAAGAGACCCTTTCTTTATCCAGAGCGGTAATAATACTCCTAAAAGCCAGAATAACTACCTCAGCTCTCGACCTTTCCTCAAGGTAAGCAATTGCTAATCGTGCGCTACTCGCGCATCCGCACGGTCAAGATCAGGAGCTATGACTTTTTTAACAACAAGCCAGTCATTGAACCCTCTTCCTCAGCAATCCCTCATTTCTTTCCACCAGGAGGAGTGTAGCTCGCGCCTCCCTTTCCGTCATTGTAGTAGGAGCTGCCGTTGGGATTGGAGTAGTAGTACGATCCATCTCTAAATACGTGGCATTAGCACGGCTCACAGAGACAGAAGAATCACCAACCTATTGGAATAGTGGTACGAGTTGGAGTTGGCGGCACTGGAGCCATAGTCGCGAGCGCAGTAGTGGTTGCCCTGTAGATAGTCAGAGTTGTATGATGAATGGAGAGAGATAGGGAAGGCTCACCTGGCTGTTGGTGCTGGAGCTCTTGTAGGTGTAGTCCTGGTTCTGAGGCATGTTGATTTGTTGGCTTTCAGCGCTACAGTTTGAGTCGGTTGGTGAGAGGTTAGAGTGGATGATGGAGGAAGAAGGAGGAAGGAGTTGGGGTGGGGGAATAGCGGAATGGGGGAGTCGCGTCGATAAATAGGCGGGAGGAGCGGAGCAGACAAAGCTTCGTCTATGGAAAGGACACAGTGAATGACGGGATCATCCGTCAGGTACCACACATTCCTCTCTGGCGGGGGCCGTTGGAGCTGTCAACGTTGTTTGTGACAAGTGTCCGTTCGAGAGATACCTTCATCGATCACCCACAAGGAGGATTGTTGTCCGCCAAATAAATTGGACTGCATTATATGTCAGTATGGACTGTAGAGTACGGCTGGGAGACAATGCTTTAGTTTGAGAAGCTGCAGACTTCATGTGCCTGTTTGGCTGAACCAGGTCTGGAACGTGAACGGGCAGGAAGCGGTCTTCTGTGACCTAGATACGGTCATCCTTTGGGAAGAAGCTGTCTCTCTTAGCAAACCCTGGTTTGACTTCCAACGTACCGTGGATTCTACGAGCGAAGACAGCCGACCCCAATTTGGGAATGTCACAACATTCAGCATGACGCCGTCGCCATTCATCATTTACTTGTCGTGCTACACCATACCAATGACGATGCGTGATGCTAATCGAGTCCGCTGAGACATCAGCATCTGCAGCCGTTTCCTTCGCTTCCTTCGTTTCAGTTGTTTCAATGTCTGTTCTCGAACACCCTTCAACTAAGTATTTATACAGCTCTCATCGGTATCCCCCACACTCTCCGCTCAGTCTCGCAATTCTAATATCTCAGTAGGGTCATTCGCCGTCTTACAACACCAATCAGACCTCACGATGCCATCATATATCTACCAGCCCGAGCTGTCCCACGGACTACCAACCACTAGCCAGGTTCGTGGTTTCCATACTCTGCCGGACGCTCACGCCAATGAGTTGGAGAGCATGGTGCAGGAGCTCAGCCATGGACTCCCCACGATGGACACTGACACTGTCATGAAAGAGGGGATTATCGATCGCATGCTTATTGACGATGATCCTGGCCGAGTCCGGTATCCGCTCCTCGACCTGAGCGGCCTCGAGGAGGATACACTTCATACTTTCCGCATATGACATCACGCTCCAAAGGAGCTGCTCTACGAACTTGTCGAAACTCAAATCGACGAACAAGGCTGCTTTGTCTTGGTCGCTAATGTCATCGTCGGAGAACCTAATGTGCACTGTGCCTGGGGTGTTGCCAGGGACTCGATTCGCCGCTGCCTAGACATATAGGGGTGGGAGGAGTTCGACGTTGAGATTGAGGACTGGGGTGCGGAAGAACATCTTGCTGGCGACGTGCAGGAGGGAGTCTCAGAGCCGTGGAATCGACCTCTGGATGACCTGCTCTTGGATTGGTGCGATATTGGGGAAACTCTGCTACTTTGCGTGTTGCGGCGGCTGACACCGCAGACTATGATATCTTTGCGCTGCATTCAAGGACGAGCAGATAGGGGGAGGGAGTTGTCACATAATTGATCGGGCTGGCCTAATTTTATTGTGAGTTGCACTTGGCTGACTGTCCTCCCATGTTGCTTGGAGTTCGACTATTATTGACATTAAGGCGTTATTTGCTTTGGCTTATATGATTGGCTAATGAACAGAACGTTGCTATAAGCCGAAAACAACAATGGATATGTGTCTCCGTATAAAGCACCCCTTCACCAGGCCTCTATTCTAAGAACAGACATTAATCATGTAGCCCTTTCACTGCTCTACAAGTCGTAGCCCATCCTTTGTATCACGGACTTTTCAGCCTCAAAAGACGTCTGGGGTGTTATTCACAGTCCTCAGAAGAGCCAAAAGTCCGCTTCTAGGTAATACCTCACCGAAATGTCGAGGCACGGCCACATCAACATTCGAGAATGCTGCACGTCGGAGGGACTGTCCTTCTAAATCGTGATTGCATATCTCCAAGCTGAGGTCTCGATTTCTTATCTATCCAATGAGCGACAAGAGTTCCGGGAGAAACATAAGGCCTTGTGAAACCACTGGGTCCATTATAGTCAAGCCTTGGGTTGCGAACGCGGAAAAGCGTGGGTGAACTGCGAAAAGCTGGAGAGAAGGCTCCTAGAAACCAAGCGGGTCATCGATATCCCTACTTCTAAGCATCAATATCTGGAAAGGGGATGGAACTCGGAGATATCCATTAATTAATTCCTCGTAGTATTGCGGTGGAAGCAAGATCTGTAACACGTAGTCACTTTCCGGATGTGGCGGATATCTGAAATACCAATGGCCTAGATCAGTGATCAAACAGCATGGCTGCTCTAATTTAGGGCGAACAGACCTGCATCATTACCAACCAACCGGAAACCTATTCCACGGCTTTAGGAATAATAATAGACCACACCTGCCGGCCATGGAGTCGGCTCAACTTGGACAGAAAGTTTCCGACTTTCGAGCAAGTTCGCATAATCCGTCCCGAGTGTGGAGCTAAAATTGTGAAGAATGACGACGGCATAAGCGACCTGCATATCTAGCGCCGTGCCTAAAATTTTATGCCGCCAATAAGAACTGGGGATGTGAACCGGAAGTACGGTAGAGTAGCCACGAGGGCCAAGCGACCCACCCCATGGAATCATGCCGAACTTCCATGATTTCAACACCCCTGGTCTGAAGAATCGGGTTATCCCCGAGTAAGCAGCTTAACACGAAGTAAGCTTACGCCATAAGGAAGCTATCAATGCGAGGGCTTGCAAAACGTCATATGTGCCACGATCCAAAGGCATTGCATTATCTTTGAGAGACCAAAAAGATAGAGACCGACCCGATCACTGTGGCGGCTTGCCGGACATAATGGAGATTAAAGTGGGCGCTTACCACAGTCAAGGCGAGTGGGTACAGAAATTCCTTGCCCGATTTCTAAGCACCGACGATCTTCCATCTTCCCTCGGCGCTGTTGGTCTATATAAGATGCCGTGAGGACCACTGGAGAATCAGATGTACCATTTACAAACCTTAAACTAAAGTGTCACAAAACGTTACAATGGCTGCTACCGATTACAAGTTCGAGGGCTGGCTTGGCCTTGACAAGAATGCCGTCGAGGGTAACATGGTGTGGAAGGAGTTCACGCCCAAGGCGTGGGAGGAGACCGATGTCGACATCAAGATCACCCACTCTGGTATCTGCGGCTCTGACCTGCACACCCTGAGAAGCGGATGGGTATGTTTTTCTCGGCATGCATTGTAAACGGTGAGACTAACCTATTCCAGGGGCCCACCATGTACCCCTGCTGTGTCGGTCATGAGATCGTCGGTATCGCCGTCCGCGTCGGTTCCAAGGCCGAGGGAGGCATCAAGGTCGGTGACCGTGTTGGTGTCGGAGCCCAGAACGACTCTTGCCTGGGCCGCAAGGGCGACTGCGAGGAGTGTGCTTCCGGTATGGAGCAGTACTGTAGTCATGGCATGGTTGGCACATACAACGGCGTCCACTATAACGGCGACAAGTCGTACGGTGGATACGCTCTGTACCACCGTGCTCCCTCTCACTTCGTCTTCAAGATCCCCGATGCCATCCCCTCTGCGGAGGCCGCCCCCATGATGTGCGGTGGTATCACCCTCTACTCTCCTCTGAAGCACTACGGCTGCGGTCCCGGCAAGAAGGTCGGAGTTGTAGGAATCGGTGGATTGGGACACTTTGGTATCCTGTTCGCCAAGGCCTTGGGCGCTGACAAGGTTGTCGCCATCTCCCGCAAGGCCAACAAGAGGGAGGACGCTCTCAAGCTGGGTGCTGATGAGTACATTGCGACTGAAGAGCCTGACTGGGCTAAGACCCACAACCGTTCACTTGATCTGATCGTTTCCACTGTTTCTTCCTCCAAGGTATGTGCACCGCTCTCTAAGTAAGGCTATGTCTGACATCACCAGATGCCCATTGTGCAGTACTGCTCTCTTCTCCGCACCGACGGTGCCTTCGTCCAGATGGGTGCTCCCGAGGACGGTGCTCTGGAGATCCCTGCGTTCGCTCTGATCGGCCGCAGAGTCAAGATGGGCGGTTCCCTGATCGGCAGCCCTAGTGAGATCCGGGAGATGCTCCAGCTTGCCGCTGAGAAGGGTGTTCACCCCTGGGTCCAGGAGAGACCCATGAAGGACGCCAACCAGGCCGTTGTCGACATGGATGCTGGCAAGGCCCGCTACCGCTATGTCCTTGTTAACGACCAGTAAAAATAACGACTCTAATGTATATAGCTGCATGATGTATAGACTATCTAATATTCATTCTTGTTCAATTCTCTCAAACGCTCGTACAATGTATGGTTGACCGTTCACAATAACCTCGCAGCCGACGCTCCAGTCTCCTTCTCCGGCGTCAATCGTCGTCATCGACGGTAATTTGTCGGCATCCGGGCCAAGGACGTACTTCGTCTTCCACCCAGTAGTAGAATCCCACTCCTCCCGTCTAGCGCTAACCTCCCGTCCATCCTTGGCCACAGCCTCCGACTCCGCACCATAGTGCATCTGCTCCTGACGCAACGCAACAAAAGTCCCCCAGATCCTCGCAATGAACACCCTCGTCACCATGCACCCATCCTTCCCACTCAACCCGCGCTCGTCCCCCCTCGCCTCCAGCACCCACGAGACTCCCCTCCCTGGACCCTCGGGACCTTCCCGGAAGGGCAACTCCCGCCACACCTCCTCATACTCCCTAACCGGCTTACCAGGAAGATCCCAACGCGGCATCGACCCGATCTCAAGGTCATCCCCGTTCGGCAGCTGGGTAAAAGTCCCACAGTCCACTGCCTCAAACGCATTATGCGAGTCGATGGCGTGAGTGAAAAGCACGCGCACTGTACCTGAGTTAGCTTTAGCAACTTATTGTGCGAGGGTACGTACGTGGCTCTTGGCTTTCTACGATGCGCTGGCCGGCGATCGCCCAGTCGATTTTGCCGGTGGATTTGTCGACGCGGAGGTCGACGTACCAGCCCAGTAATGACAGGACGATGGTGTCGGTGTTTTCGAACGCTGGGTCCGGGACCCAGCGGAGGGAGATCCGAGTTGAGAGGCTGCTGCTGCTGGTTTGGCCGGTGGTCATTGTCGAGGGGAAGGTCTGGGAGCTTCTTGTTGTAACTGACAATGGAGTGGTTCAGTTGCTTATTTTAGAATTAGCTGTTTGTTGTGAGCACTCCCACTGATATGCCTACCCCGCAGACCGATCTTCATTGTAAGGTGCCTTGGGATATAAGGCTAAAAAGGGAAGATTTGGGCTACAAAGGTCTATTGGCTCAATGGTAGAGCACCTGTCTCCTATGCTGGACAACAGGAGGTTGTGGGTTCGAGTCCCATGTAGATCGACCTTTCTTTTTTTTTCAACATCGTTTCTACATTTCTCTGTTTGTACGGTTCTTCGTTCTTAATTATTATTCAATAGATATGGGTCTTGATTTTTGTTTTTCCTTGTCCAGTGTCGGCTTATACAGTCCTGCCGTGGCATCAGAATATATTACTCTAGCCATCGATATTCCAGTAGTGGAGAATTTATACTATAATCTAATAGAGCATTCGACAGGAGAAATTAAGATTCTTCTAGGATCAAAGATAGAGACAAGAATATTATCTTTTCTTTTTTTTGTTGCAAAAGTCTGTTTGAACTCGCGGAAAAAACAGTCGAAACCACTGTCGCTTAGCATCTGGCATTATACTGCCCTATACTTGGGAATATCTCATAGATTACGAAGATGATGAAGTGGAGACCAGAGTATTAATCAACGCAAACAATGAATAGTTATTTTTTTTAAGCTATCCAATCATCCAACCATGCCACACAAGAAAAAAGCCGATCACAAGGAGCAGAATCCATGCCAACCAGCATGCAGCCTGGTTGCCAGCACGCGGTACTGCTTCACCGAGGCAAATCGTTGACTCTTGCCTCGACCTCAGAGCCATCTTCACAGTATGAATCACTGACGGAAGACCCGGTTAGACAAAAACTGTTCCGCCTTCCCGGACGAGAGCCCCAACTCGGCAGCACAGGCAACGATAGTCCATACCCCAAGCGCAAAGTTCTCCTTGTGAAGCGGACCACCGCTCTCCGGCTTCTTCGCATCGAATCTCAGCAGCTGATGCACAAACGACAAAGCCCAGACACACATCCACGAGGCCCACAGCCAGCCGGATTTCTGGGCCCGCAGCTGCAGGTAGAGAGAGCCGAGCACGAGACCCGCCAGGATGACCAGGAACATATGGATGCGGGATCCCGCGGCGACGTACACAGAGTTCACATTCATCTTGGAGTCGTCGACGATGTCTTGGTAGCTGTATGCTGTGTTGAGGTAGAGGGTCCAGGCGAAGGCGGTGATTGAAAGCGGCAGGGACTCGGAAATGCTTTGCGTGAATGGGATCTGGCGGCCCTTTATTGCCATCCATCCGATGACACTGGGCCAGGCCAGAGTAAAACCGAGGAAGTACTGGGGATAGATGTATAGTCGTCGGCAGAGTTGGCGCTTTCCGAAGGGATAGAGGATCGTGCTGATAGTGACAGGGATCATAGCAGCCGCGCTGGTTTTGGTCAGCTATCAATGTTCTTGAGACTTGTAAGAGGTTCTCATACACGTCGTGACCTTCCAGCATAATATCCATTAGCCACCACGAGACAGCGAACTGGACCAACATCCAGATGAAGCCCTCGGTTGCAGTAACTCTCCCCGCTGCCAGGGGCCGATTCTTGGTGCGCGCTACGCTTTTGTCGATGTCGCGGTCGACCCAGTCATTCCAGACCATGCCTGCACCGCAGAAGATGTAGCCGCAGGCCAAGCATAGAAGGGTTTGTTTTACGATGTGCTTGGCCGAGATCGAGGTCGGATGAGCGGTAATTTCATTAGCACCGGCAAGCAACGATGCCCAAACTGAGATGTCCGAGGTCAATGGATGAATATCGTCTACGAGGAAGGGACACACCTCCTGAGAATACAGCAAGCCATGGGTTGTACTTGTGAAATCTGGATAGGATGAGCAGGTCCTTCACTAGCTGCAGGACAGATCGCTGGTGGGGAGATGCGCCAGTTTCCACGACTTTGTACATTTTGCACATGTCTCTATCCAACAGCGAGTGGAGAAGGGCAAAACAGAAGGTCAACAAGCGGCTGGTATATCAATGGGGAATTATGTTCAAGGGGGGTAATATACATCGTAAATCCTAGCTCAATATACCCAGCCTTACCTTTCTAATCGAGTAGCTGACAAACAGGGAAAAACTCCGACAGCCCGGCCAGTGAAAAGCGCCGACACCCAGTTGAAAAGCACCGACAGCTACATACTAGGACTGACTGATTGAGATGCACTGTATCAAGGGTCAGCCCACGTCACTGCTTCGCTTGCTGCTTGACGCGGCAGTCCAACTCATCCTATCGCTCAAGGAGCAGCTGACAAGCCCTAGGAACTACCCCATTGAACATGTCAGCAATCCTGCAACTCCATTATCTTAACCGGGGTGTTACTCAGACTTCTTTAGCTGCCGAATAAGCCGTGGGTCGTGAAGAAGTACCTTGATAGGGTCGTGGTTCGACTGCGAGAGCTTATCACACCGAGCAGCTAATATACCTCATTCACAATGTAGACATGACATGAACACAGTCTCAAAAGCATCTGCTAAAAGTAACCTGATTGGCGCGGCGTTCACGGACTTGCCTTGCATGAATTTGGTCCGGAGCCAGGGTACCCCTTCATGGCTGACAATCAGCTTATGCACAAGGGCAAGTCGACAACTATTGGCTCGCGTGACCTACGATACCTTAGTGATTAGGGGCATAATAGTCTGCACTATTGCACCATGGCCTTACTCTTGCGGCTGATTGTGCATTTGGAGTAGTGTAGTGACAGTATTTGCTGACCGAATTCCGATGATTAGATTGACTCAGCACTGCACCCCCGGCGGCAGATACTCGATATCATTCATTTTTTCCATAGATTAGATAGATTCGATTAGTTCCCATATCTCCATATTTGTCATATCAAGTGTATGGAAGGCATAGTCACCCTTAGTAAACAGGTAGTTAATGGCTTGAATGAGGTATGCCTCGCTTGGATAATCATAAACTGAGAACCCATTGGATGTAGAAAATATCCAAAATTTTACGAGTATGCTTCTGCATTCTAAATCTGTTCTAAAGAGGAACTCTCACTAAGACCGTGGATAAACTCCTGTCACCCTGTGTAGACATCTACCGCTGATATCGACACTGTAGACAAGGCCTGAACGTAAGGGACAACAGAAAATAGAATCAAATTGCAGATTCGGTATAAACTAGCAACCATCTTGCTCACTATATGCGCGCAGGTGCTAACCAGTAGCAGCTACCCCTTCAGTTCCAGAAAGTCCAGGATACCCTTCAATTCTTCTGTGTGGCCTAGATCACCAAAGTCCTTCAGGATTTCTCTCGCCTCTGCCGTAAGACTCGCCAGTCTCTTACGGCAATAATCAAAGCTTCCCGTAGACTCGACGATGCGAACAGCGTACCGCTTGACATCTTCGTCCTCAGTCTTTTGCTTCAGGATACTCATCAACTGGAAATTGTTCAGATCACTGCGAATGCTGTGGATAATGGGGTAGGAGAATTTTCCCTCGGTGATGTCTTCACCGAACCCTTTGTTCTTGGCATACAACTCGCTCTGCAGGTTCTGGTAGTCGTCTCGAATTTGGAAGATGATTCCGAGAAGGTCGACGAGCGGCACGCAATCCCTGTATCTCTATTAATCACCATACACGCCCTGTGAAGCGAGGAGCTTACTTCGTATTCTCGCTTTCCATATGCATCAGCTTGATCGCAAGCCGGAACAGCCCGCCGGTCTTGTTGGCAACCATTTCAAGGTACCCCTCCTCCGTGGGGCAGGTCAAGGAATCTCGCCAATAGAGATCCAAGCCCTGGCCGCGGTGAAGCCTCAACATCTCTTCCGTGAAGATGACCATAGCCTCCGGCTTGCCCAACTTTTTGAGCTCCTGCTGCGCCCAGAAGTAGGCGAAATTAGCCGAATTGATGGTCTGTGCGATACCGAAAATACTATGCGCGACGGGGAATCCTCGCCTGAGTTTCGACGAGTCTTGGATATCGTCAATTCTGTGATTGTAAGCTTCGTATTCGGCTGGCAAACCTGTAGGGAACTGCATACAGCAACGAGGTCGAATGCAGTAGGCCGACCACCCGCTTGATGACGTCGAGTTTGTCCTCTGGAATTTGGAGCCATTGGTTGAAGGCAGAAATCAGCTTGCCTCTGATGTCTTTTCCTGGGAAACTGCAAAGGTAGTCAAGAGGAGCCCAGATTATCTGGTGGGAGAAGCTTGTTAGTATACAGAGCATTATGAAAGGGCAAGATATACCCTGTACCTTTTCTTCAGTGAGCCTTCTCTGTTCCTGGAGGTCAGATGCACTAGAGCTTGTTAAGTCTGTTTCGGTCAGAGTACCAGTTACTGCCTGCGATCGGGCTTCTTGAGGCATGAACAAATTTAAATGAGTCCATTGCGACTTTGACGGGTCTTGGAAGGGCTGCTGATGATCGAGATCGTAGAGGGACGTTGCTGGGATTGGTACCATATTGCAGCGGATTGGGAGGTACATTCAGAAGACTACGAGATACTAGCAAAACTTCGTGGTAACTAGACACAGAGATGCGAATTGGCCTTTTGCAGGTGTACTTAGAAATATGTAATATATATCCCTGTACAACCGAGGCACAGTTAAGCTAATCAGAACAAAAAGCTAAGCCGCAATAATTCAAGCTTCATACTAGTTCGGAATCAACTTCACTTCAAGATATGCATAGAGTGTAACCTTCCGACGCCTGCCGACGATCAAAGAATGCTATGACCCTGCCAGTGGGCCTGATCTCGGAGGATACCGCTAACGATGCGGAAAGAAATGAAGAGGACCAGCCCGGAGGAGATTGTCACTCAGGAGCTGCATCCCTGCTCCGAGGGTGTCAGCTTGGCATATCACCTCTTCCCGCATTGCCAACGGAACCAATTGTCATGGCATTCACTAGCTGGGCTAGAGAGTTTGTATCCTGACCGGCCACCGACAAGAAACAGCTCATAATCCTCGATGCACACAGATTCCCTTTCCTTCCTGGAGCACGCATGTAGCAGAGCTCAACTGGGCCTGACCAGTTGGATGCGGTGTACTGTGTCCTAATAGGATTATCCACCGAATGGCAGCCTAGGCAATTCGGCGCATACTGCCTCTTGAATATTGTCCTATCCCTGCTGTGTTGACGCGACTGCTATCACCCCTACTAGCTAGAGATGTTTGTCTAGACACCTTTCTGGTTGAGGTGTTTAATATATAACACGTATCACCATGTCACCCTTAGTTGACAGGGAGCAGGCATCATTAGAAAGCGAAAATTGCTGGATCAAGATATTCCCCGAAGTTGTACCGTGATCAATCTCAGCCAGAATCAGATGGGCAACATCCCTGTTGCCCACCACCATGGACGCATATTGTTTGCTGATAACGAAGTAACTTTTCACTGACACTGACCACTACATGCAGATGACTGCAGATCGTCCATTATCCACCGAATAGCTACCACGCTTACACTTGTTGGGTCTTCGAAGACACTGAGTGACCCCCTAAGCCGATTGGATGGGATATCAATATACAAGTATACAGAAGATGGAATACATCGTTTCGCCTCGCGGACAATTCGGCGGATTGATGAGGGCCTCTATGAGCGAACATACTTCTTGTGCAAAATAAGGCGCGGAGTACAGAGTAGTATAGACTCTTGAGTTTCTTCCTATGTCTGCTCATCTTTACGTACATAATCCATAGCTTATCACGTCGTTATAAACCCCTGGGAGGTCTCAGGAAGGAAGTCTTTGCCTGCCTTCCGCTAGACCTTAACTAATACAACAACATAAGGTAGATTATCCAATTCTGACCCGGATCGAAGGATTTCTCCTCGGCACGCATAGGCCGGTATCTGCAAAATCATTGAAACAAGGGATTTTCTCATATGGTAAGGTCTCCTCTTCACGAATAGTCCCCATTCTATAGCTACGAGGCTGCCTTTTCTGTATATATATTTTTATTTTGGTTGTTTATCTGGATAGAAAAGTAAAGCTTACTCGAGTATATTGCCTACGATGGCGAACAAGTCCTCCTTCAAAGCTATCATAGTGGGTGGATCGATCGCCGGTCTTACCTTGGCCCACTGCCTCAGCAAAGCAGGCATCGACTACATCGTTCTCGAAAAGCGCAAGCAGATTGCGCCGCAGGAGGGCGCTTCTATCGGTATTTTCCCCCATGGGGGCCGGATTTTGGCGCAGCTGGGGCTGTTGTATTTGGTTGAGGAGCAGATTGAACCATTGCATACTGCGCATCAGTACTTCCCTGATGGCTTTGCACATACTACTAATGCCCCGCGGATTATTCAAGAGCGGTATTATCTACATGTGATTGGCCCGTATTTACTGCTAATATGGCTGGTAGGTTTGGTCTGCCTCTCGCCTTTCTAGAGCGGAGACGAATGCTTAGAGTGCTTTATGACACGCTTCCGGATTCGTCCCAAGTCCTGGTAGAGAAGGCTGTCATTTCCGTGGAGCGGGAGGATTCAGACCTGATGAGGGTCACGACCCATGATGGAAGTGTATATCATGGCAATCTGGTAGTCGGTGCGGATGGTGTGCACAGTCGAGTGCGCGACGAAATGTGGCGGCTGGCCAATTCACAAAGTCCAGGTGTATTTCCTGAGAATGAAATGAGCGGTGGGTGTTATCATATTCAAGAAAGACGCGATTGAGTAAAGCTGAGTACATTTTAATTTCTAGCGATGACGGTCGAGTACGCCTGCGTTTTCGGGATCTCGTCTTCCGTCCCCATGCTGAAACCGGGCGAGCAAGTGGCCAGCTTCAACAACGGTAGATCGTACCTCACGTTTCCCGGAAAAAATGGTAGAATCTTTTGGTTCCTCCTGCTGAAGCTCGATCGAAAATACTCGTACTCAAATGCTCCGCGGTTCTCCTCCACAGACGCCGAGAAGGCAGCTGAGCGGTTTGCCCATGACCACATCTGGGACGGAGTGTATTTTCGAGACCTATGGAAGAGTAGAGAGGTGTTCTCTTTCGTGAATCTCGAGGAGAATGTGTTTCAAAAATGGCATTGGGAACGAATCGTTTGCATTGGTGACAGCATGCACAAGGTAAGAAAGGTTCTGGCTTCGGGGATACGAACTCGGAATTCTGATCTGACATGCCTTGAACAGATGGCTCCAAATACTGGCCAAGGGGCCAACTCCGCCATCGAAGACGCCGCTGCGCTTGTGAATCGCCTCCACCGGGCTCTGAGAGCAGCGTCTGATGGTTCTAACTTATCATCGGGTGAAATAGATGATCTCCTGAACGAATTCAATGAAAGCAGATATCGCCGTGTACGTGGAATCTACCAAGGATCCAGGATGGTTGTTAGATTGCAGGCAAGGCAGAATCTGTTCCTCAAATTCCTCGGACGCTACTACCTGCCCTACCGCGGCGAGGTCGCGGCGGACGCGGCGTCCAAGATAATCGCTCCAGCTGAGCACCTGGACTTCTTACCGCTTGCTACCTACTCCGGGGCCGGATGGCATCAATTCAAATCAGGTCAGAGTGGAACTGCCTTGATACCGTGCTTGTATCCAGTTGTTGCCCTTTCGCTGTGTGTCCTTGCTTGGATCGGGAATGATGTTGTCCGGAGTAGAGTTGTGTTTGCTTAAGTCCTGGGGTGGACGAATGGTACTCTAGACTTGATATTCTACTGTAGAGTCAATTCCATATCTCGCATTAAGAGTTTAGTCGTCGAATATAGACTCTGGAAACGTTGTCAGCCTTGCCAAATTTCCACTTTGTAAAAGCAAGTGATACGTCTTTCGCGAAAGTTCAGTGCAGTTTCTCACATTGCAATTCAGGCTATTCAGTGGCTAGTTGTCATGTGCATGGACCGTCTGGTTGAAAAGCCATTCTACTGGCGATCCTGGAGACGCATGCAGGATACTCGGGCCAGTTCCGATAATGCGGGCCGATTTGGAAGAGATATGAGAGCTCGGCCTGCAAAGCAATCTGTTCGGGAGACCAACGCCAATCTCTCAGCTGCGCCATAGAGTCAATAGACCCCGTCATTCCGAATCAGGCCATTAGCTCTCAAATGGCAAAGTCTAGACGTGCTTCCTTCTTCTTCTACCGAGGGTGATTTCAATTCGCACTATTTCAAGAGAGCCATAGCCGGACGGGGAGACTGCGTACGGAGTTGTAAACGTGGTCATGCACAGAGGAACTACTTTGCTTTTTCAGTGGGTTGTCAATCATCTTGTGTCATGATAATCTGTTCAGGCTTGGGCTAATTATGGTTGTCTGGCCTTGGAGAGGGCTTCCAGGCACATGATCTACTGGACTGTTCTCAAGCAGTGATTATCTGAGACTCTGATATACGTACCTTTGGCAACGAGCCCGTTATTTCATCTTTCTGTGGGTCATCCGTGTGCAGCAATTTCTCTGATCTAGGCATAGAAATGTCTGGGCGAGAGCGTAGAGTCCTCGAGACCCTTTTGTATGCCATTCCTTTCGTTCTTGCCCAGAATTTAGTACCTGCCATTGTGGTCCTGAGAACGGAGAAGAACTCAGTTCTCAGGTACTTGTGGGTTTTCTGGTCCGTCTTTGTTTTCTATCAATGGCTTCAAATCCCGATATCGCACGGTGAGAGTGGCGCATACATCACCAAGGTGGGAGTCCAGCTTTTTACGGTGATCCTCCAGGGCTTCAATCTTATCTTGATCAACCCGCTGGACAAGAACGAGCTTCTTCAGACAAAGATTATCGATCCAAGAGATGATTTCCAGCGAAAGACGTACAAAGTTGCTCGTCTGTTTACGTATTTGCGGGGCGTGCGAACACCATGGCAGGTGAAAGGGATCCCATCGCACCCGGGATACCTCATACAACAACCGAAAGTCCCAATCTCTCGCAGTGCATTCTTGATAAGACAGGCTGCTATCGTGGCATGGCTGTACTTATACTTGAATTGCGCAAACTCTCTAGCCGATGGAAACCCATCACCACTGTCAAAGCCCATTTATGGCCTAGGATACCTCCGCGTTTCCAGGGAGGAATGGCGAACTCGAATTATGACCTCGCTGATGTTCTGGTTTGCGTTCTTGCGGGCAGCTGTGGATATTGACTATCGCACCGCGTCTATTTTGAGTGTTGGCATGGGCCTGGACGCTCCGGAGGACTGGCCACCGCTCTTTGGTCGTGCAAAACAAGCCTACACTCTCCGTAATTTCTGGGGGTGAGTAGTCACCATACAGCTGTGAATGGGATCTGCTAACTTGCCTATTTTTTTAGTACATATTGGCACCAGATGTTCCGATGGCCGTTCACTGCGACGAGCAACTACCTGGCCCGGGAGCTTATGGCTCTCCCTAGGCCGTCGTTGCTCGAACGGTATACCAACATCTTCTTTGTCTTTCTCGTTTCAGGCGTGATGCATGTCATGGCCGACCTATTCATGGGCATTTCTGTCAGCCAGTCGACTTCTCTTCTCTTTTTCTGCTCCATGACGTTAGGATTTATGATCGAAGATGCGGTTCAGGCAGCTTGGACTCGCCTCACTGACAGTCATCATCCCGGGAGAGCATCCACCGTCGACAGTGATGGATGTGCTGTGCCTTGCTGGCATAAGCTTGTGGGGCTCATCTGGGTGTGTGGCTGGCTTAGTCTCACGACTCCGGTCTGGCTGTACTCTTTGCAGATGTCGAAAGACAAGAGCTCGTTCCTTGTCAATATTCCAGAGCTTGTTGGTACAAGCACAGCTATTGCTATGACTGCTGGCGGAGGTCTTTTGGTAACATATGTTTTTCGCGGAGAGCTTTAGAGCAACACCGCAATAAATCGTACTCGGGCAAACAGAATTACAACTCCCAGGGATATCTAATTTGGAAACATTGAAATGCAATGATATAAATGACAAGCTATTATTAGGGACGAGAGAGATCATTAAGGTATCGAAGCAAATAAAGTAGACAGAACAACATTAATCGCAGTTGATTAGCCGTGCGGTCCCGAGATACATCCGGTATTAGGGCTCAATCTTAGGGCTTGCACCTTCCGTCGCGTCTTTCTTCTGCTCCCTGCATTTCAGGCTTCCACCACACTCTCGACGAGATCGAAACGAAATTACCCACACGAAACACGCGCAAATACACATCATCGTCCAGAATTCTAACGCTTCAACAACCCAGGTACGTCTGGCTCTTTCATTCCGTCGTCTGTCCAGAATCCACCATGGAACGTGCCATGTGGCTAGACTTATAAGACTTGGACGCCAAAATAAGCCGAGCGAGTCCACCCATCGTAAGCTCGGGACTCAGTTGCGTCAAATCCACCTTCAAGCCAAATGCTTGTTGCAGGTCGGACTCGAGTTCAACGGCGACCAATGAGTCCAAGCCCAGACTTCGAAGCTCAGTTCCAGGGAGTATGCTCTCCGTGATGTTCAAGCTTTCCGACAACATCCTTGATAGCTGGGCAAGCACAGCCTCGCTATTACTTATAAATCGTGCCTTCGCATTGTCAGAAAGTGATTCAGTGGATGATGTACGTCGGCCGAGAGAGGATGAAGTATTACGAGTGGCAGTCGTCGTTCGCGAAGCTCGAGCAAGGCGGTCGTCTTGCTGCGTCTGAATTTCTCGGCAAAGCATCCCAACATCAAGTTGTCTTTCATAGAGGAACACAGGTTTTTGGAGATGGAACACTTCTTGGATTCGATTCTCCAACTCAGTTGCAGCAAGGGAATCGACACCGGCTTCCATGAGGGGTGTGCTGGCGGAAATCTCGCTTGGGGGAATTCCAGTTATCTCGTGGAGCAGGCTACTCAGGATAGAGAGAATGTTTGAGACATCGCTGTCATTCGAGTGTCGGCAAGCTTCACTGACTGGGCGGTTTACCGCTTCTGTCTCGACTGAAAGTTCCGAAGTCTGACTGTTGAGACTGGCTCTTTTGACGATTCTATCGAGGGAACTGGTGGTAATCCGAACGAACCTTGCGCCAAGTATGGCAACAATCAATTGCTTACTGGTTGAATCAAATACAAACGTGTCACTCAGGAGCTCCCTGGGTCCGCGGGGTGTTTGTCGAGTATAAACAGTCCATGGTCCCATTTCTGATTGCAGACTCTTGAATGTGACCAACTCACTCAGCCCAGAGCAGATGAATACATCATCTCTCTTGCAATCATCCCGGCACAGCGCCAGTACTTCTGCGATCAATGCGAACTGGTCCATCACAAGCGGATCACACACTACTATCTCCGAGTTGTTCCCACCAATTGCTGGCATCTCCAGCTGGGCGACTGCTGCGGTGCCTTTTATGGTCATGGCTTTGATGCCCCTATAACAAGGCTTGTACTCGGTCACTTTCTCGAGTACTTTATAGATTAAGCCTTCTTTCATGGAAATTGCCGAAGAGTCATCAAGAATGTCCTGGATATGGCTGTATCCGATTACTCTCTGGATCACTGACCACTGGGGCGCCATGTCGGATTTGCCATGTCGCTCCTGCTTGAGAGAGACCGTTCCTGTCGCGTGACATATGCTCTGGGCGTCTTTTTCACTAATGATTGAGAATCCCCAATTGCACGATCTGATGTGTTTGAGCCTGAGGCCAACGCGTGCTCCTGGAGCGTGCCCGAGCGGATTATGGATTTCCAGATTCAGAACCTGTACATGAGCGGACGCCATCGAGCATTCGCGGCCGGCGCAAATGGCCATGGCCTTAGCGGCCAGCTCGGCAAGCACCGACACAGGACACAGAACCTCCCCAAGGACTTCGCGTCCGTTCAGGTACCTGCCAAAGTCTGGATGACAATGATTGACTCCGAAATGCAATTTTCGCGGTGCTCCTCTGTACCTTTCGTCCCGCAGCAAATAGATCAGTGGCTTGTGTTCGTCAGAAATGATACTCTTCCGCTCAGAGTCGTTCTGGCCTGGTTTGTCAGAATGTAAAAGCCAGAAGGCTGTCTCGTCAAATTGGTAACCAGGAACATCATATGAGTCAAATGTTGTCTTCTCTGTGTTATGATACACCCAGAACTGCACACCAACGCCTTTATTCCATATCTGCATCGTGGTTTCCGTTAGCGATGCCAAAGGTTCTGATGAATCCAATTGTAGTCGATGGAAAGAATGCCCTGAGCTGCTCTCGGTCCCGAGGGCGCACTTCACAAGTGCTATGCCTTTGGATCCGACGCCCCCTTCAACCCACATACAAGGTCCTAGTTCTTCGTCAACTCGAGAAATAGCATCGAAGAAATATACTGATTCGCGCGAATGACGAACAACCATTTCGGGAGTGAACTCCTTCCAGCTGCCGCCCATGGAGCATGTTTCGATTGGGATATTCGGCGCCGCATATGTGATACTCCGTGCCAGAGCCATATAGTTGGCCAGCAAGCAGTCGACAAGCTCGGAATGAAAGCCGTGGGTAGTCCTTAACCTTCGAGTCTTACAGGATGTCTTGGCTTCGAGACTCTGGATGGCTACTTCAGTACCAACCAGGACGTGGTTCCTGGCCCCATTGAAGCACGCAACCTCTATCTTATGAGCTGGGACTGAGCGGGCAAGCTCGAGAGCTCCCTGCCTGTCTACCTCAACGGCAAGCATACAGCCCCGTTCTTTGCCCCATTTTTGCTGGATCAACCTGGCTCGCCCTGCAACTAGCCTGAGTGTATCGGCAAGTGTTGTAACCCCTGAGATACACATTGCGGTGAACTGGCCAATGCTATGGCCTATGACACGCTGGACGGGCAATCCCGCATCAAGCCAAGCAGTCGCACAAGCGTACTGCAACGAGAAGAACAGGCAATGAAGGATCACAACATCCTCTATCGGCTGTTGGTCAAACAAGAATGGGATCAGGCCGCGGAGGCCCATTTCGCGGAGTATCTTGTCGCACTCATCAATGTGTGATCGCAGCAGACTTGAACCTTCATACGCCTCTTTGTGCAGGTAGACAATGTTCCCGGTTTGGCCTGCAAAGACCAGAACAACCGTCTGGGGCTTAGGTGAAGGCGACGACAGTTGCTCAAGTCTCGCCTTCTGTCCAAGTTTGCTTCTCAAATCACTTAGCGAACGTGCAACGAAGGTGATGCGCTGTCGAAGAGTCCGATTCTGCGTCCGAGCCACACTGAACGCGATATCTGACAAGGGGGCGTGGGTGTTTTCCAACCACTCACTAAGGGCAGTGCAGTACATCCTGAGACTCCTTTCCGACTGCCCAGTTATCAAAAATGGGTATTCAGAGAGTCTGTGATTATTGCCAGCACTAGACTCTGACCGAGGTGGCTCGCAAACAATCACTGCGGCATTGTTCCCCGCTGCCCCATAATTGTTGATGCAAGCAGCACGGAAAGTGGCCTTCCATTCGAGTTCATTAGTTGCGACCGACAAGTTGTCCGGTTCGAGTGGCGGAATCGATGCATTCAACGCGGTGAAATTGGCCTGTGACGGTATCCGTTTGTTTCGGATCATCAACAGCACTTTTAGGAGCCCTGCGATTCCTGAAGCTGCTTCTGTATGTCCGATGTTGGCTTTGACTGAGCCGAAATGCAACGTGGGTCTCGTCCCTCCAAAGACTTGTCGAATACTTCTGCATTCCACTGGATCTCCCAGCGGAGTACCAGTGCCGTGAGCCTCAACGTAGGTGATGTCCTTGGGTTGCAGGGCTGCCAGTGACAGAGCCTTCCGATAGAGGTTGACCTGCGAGTGTGATGTTGGGACAGTAATTGCGTCCTTGCCATCGCAATGATTCGCTGCCGATCCCACAATCACGCCTAGAATATCGTCATTGTCGGCCACGGCGCATGATAACTTCTTCAACATGACAAAGCCACACCCTTCTCCACGGCAATAGCCATCAGCAGAAGCATCGAATGGACGACAAGGGCCGCCACTCCGACTTAAAAACCTGGCTGCCGCCAAGTTCTGTTGCATATTCGGACAGGATATTATGTTAACTCCTCCTGCTAAGGCCATGCGGCATTCGCCCATTCTGATATCCTTGCATGCCTGATGGATAGCGACAGCTGACGAGGAACACGCCGTATCGATGGTCATCGATGGTCCCGTCCAGCCAAAGTGGTGGCTTATGCGACCGCTCACAAAGGCTCGAGCAGCGCCTGTGAAAGAAAATGCCGTCGGGGCATGAGAGCAGACGTTATGTTCATAATCGGAACCTCCGACGCCAACGTAGCAGCCGATATTCTTATCTTTGATGCCGCTCCTGAAGTATTCAGATGACTCAACAGCTTGGTACGCCACCTGCAGCGCAACGCGCTGTTGCGGATCCATGTATTTAGCTTCCCGTGGGGATATCCCGAAGAGTCCGTGGTCAAAGTGGCCTGCACTGGAAAGGAAGTTACCCCGTAGAGGTTCTTCCAGTGGTTCCTTTCGCAACGACTTGTCTATCGCAAATCTGCCTTCAGGAAGTTCCCCTACCATTGTGCCTCCTGCTCGAATGAGCTCCCAGAATTGCTGCATAGTGTCTGCACCGGTGAATTTACAAGCAGCTCCAATGACAGCAATAGAGTGCTCAGGGTAGTCATAGCGATATTCATCATTCACTGATGATTCTTGTTCATTCGGCGAAATAGTCGAGGTCAATGGCGGCGTGAGAACTCGAAGGTTGGCGGATGCGGTAAGTGATCGTGGGAGACAGCTCACAAGGCCCAACTCCAATATGAGCGGCTGCTCATTTGTCCCAAGCTGCGACATCAAACTGGAAACAGTCTCTGCCATGGTTGAGTACCAGTCAGCTGTTTCCGTCAGCACGCATTTCAAGGCAAGCTCATGCAGCTTCTCCGCTGATGTGATCAGGTCCCCG